TTTTTTATACATATTTATGGGAAAAAATGCCCTTAAAATAGAAAAACCCTTTATTGAAATAAAAGGTCGGAGTAATAATTATTTTCCCCTTCTAATATATATATAGAGGCATGGGCTACAACTTTGAGCTATCTTAAACACATGAGGTCCCTTTAACAATAAAATTTCAATCTTTCATAAAATACAAAATAAAGTAAGGATGCATTTATACACAAGTATTATATATTAAATTTAGACAAAATTTCAATAAGTTATCTTTCTATTTTTAGTAGTTAAAATTTATTATAACTTTTAGATAAAAAATAATTATATTTAATAAATATAAATAAATTTCAACTATTAAAAATAAAAAAATAAATGGTTGAGATTTTATTTATATGTAATATATAAGACTTAAAATGCAAATGAATCCCTACTCAATAAAATAAAAGAAAATAAGCATTATACTCGATATTTTGAGTAAATAAATTGTTATCTCAATTTACAGCGCATAGATTTGATTTCTTTCTTCTTCTTCCTTTTTTCTTCTTTTTTTTTTAACTTTCTTTTTGGCCATACAGACTTGATTTCTTTGATCTTCTCCTCAAACAAAATAACAAGGGAAAGATTAAGCAGTAAATATCTGTCGCCATTATAGGTTTTTTTAATTCGTGAAATATATTTTTTTGCCCTTGGATTTGATAACAAAAGGAAATAAACTAGACAGATTATGTCTGCCATTTCATCATCCAAATTTCTTCTTGCCCCCTCATGATTAGACCCATACATGTACATTGTGAAACGCCCCAATGTCCAAAATTAGACTGGTAAATCTGTAATTCGAGCAAAAACCAAAGGCAATTAATAATTAGGACAACATTCTCAAAAAATATATATAAAACGTCCATATGCATATCATCACAACCTCCAACAAACGCCTCAAGAAATTCTTGCCCAAAATGCAAACCAAACCTTGCCACATCACGCCAACAAGATTCCATACGCCGGTGACACTCACCCCGGCAGTGCACCGGCTTCCACTACCACCACTGAAACCACCACGGGCAATATCCATTTCCGCTCCACCAGATAACACCTTGTCGAATTTAACACTAGATACCGTGGATGACTCCGTGACAGCTTTTTGGGACTACCAATTTTTATTCATGTCACAACGCTCAGAGACGGCAGGGCCAATCACTCTCCGACTGGTGGACGGTGCCATCCCACTGGACTTCCCTTCGGGCACATATTACCTAATCGGTCCAGGTCTATTTTCGGATGATCACGGCTCCACCGTGCACCCCCTCGATGGCCACGGCTATCTTCGGGCGTTTAACATTGATGGTGTCAACAAAGAGGCCAAGTTCATGGCTAAGTACGTAAAAACCGAAGCTCAAGTGGAAGAGCACGATCCCATCACTGACAAGTGGCACTTTACGCATCGTGGACCGTTTTCAGTACTAAAAGGAGGTAAAAAATTAGGTAACACTAAGGTCATGAAAAACGTGGCTAATACCACTGTACTAAGGTGGGGTGGGAGGTTACTATGCCTATGGGAAGGTGGAGATCCTTACGAGATTGAATCAGGAACATTGGATACCATTGGAAAGTTCGACGTGATCAACGGTTGCCATTCGTTGCCGGGAAGTAAAGTCGGTGATATTTTCGACATAGCTGCCGGACTGTTGAAACCAGTTCTACTTGGTGAGTACTGAGTACATCCTGCATATTCATCTTTAGTTTTTAGGGCAGTGATATATGAATAATATTTTTGTATCATTATTTTTTATAATTTTTATATATTATTAAATAAATAGATATATTTAATATTATAAGTTTTAAATAAATAAATAAAAATTAATTATTTAAATAATATATAAAATTACACAAAAATAATATAAAAAAGTTATTCTTAAATTATTTTGCTAGTTTTAATAATGATGTCAATTTGTTTGAATTATAGAATATAGAAGAAGTTAAATATGTCCACACATCGATCAGCAACTTCCTGCTTTCCAAAATTTTATGTAAAATTTAAAATCCAACGTTGTTTTCTAAGCAGGTGTGTTCAAGATGCCACCCAAGAGATTGTTGTCTCATTACAAGGTTGATGTTGAAAGAAACAGGCTTGTTACAATGTCATGCAATGCAGAGGATATGCTACTGCCACGGAGCAATTTTACATTTTATGGTTGGTAAATCACATTGATTCCTAGGTGTGTTTGTGCCCTTCTTTTAGTTTTATTTACAGTTCATCACATAATTTCATTTTTTTTTTGGTAGAATTTGATTCGGAATTCAAGCTGTTACAGAAGCAAGAATTCAATATCCCGGATCATTTGATGATCCATGATTGGGCTGTCACTGATACCCACTATATATTATTTGGAAATCGCATCAAGCTCGATATTCTTGGTTGGTTTAATTTAACATTAATTACTCTATTTAGTTAAATTTATAGTAAGATTGTAAGAATTTAGACATCTGATCATAATATTGGTTTTTTAAAACTAATTGTGAAGGGTCCATGGGAGCAGTGTGTGGGCTAACTCCAATGATCTCGGCTTTGTCAGTAAACCCGAGCAAGAAAACATCCCCTATATACTTGCTTCCACGGTTTCCTGATAAATCAGGCGGACATGGTTGGGATTGGAGGGTCCCTGTGGAAGCTCCTTTACAGATGTGGGTATTGCACGTCGGTAACGCTTTTGAGGTCAAGGATGGTCATGGAAATTCTGAGATTCAAATACAGGCTGCTGCTTGTTCCTACCAGTGGTTCAATTTCCACAAACTGTTTGGTATGTAATCCTCTACTTTTCAAGTATGACAATAAAAAATATGGGAAAATCTCATATTTTGATTAATGAGTTACTTAGTTCGTCTTATAAATATGCTTGTTAATCAATTTAAACTCATTTGAAAGTGTGCCTGTTATATATCTTAGATATGTAAAATCATTAACATTTTTTTTTTTTGGGGTAGGATACGATTGGCAAAGTAGCAAATTGGACCCCTCAATTATGAATGTAAAAGATGGGGAAAATCGATTGTTGCCTCACCTAGTTCAGGTATTCTAAAACGAGATAGTTAGGAGGGTTTAGTTTCTAGCACATAAATTTATAACTGATTAACGGCTTCGACCATATGCAGGTTTCTATAAATTTGGATGGCAATGGAAACTGTAAAAAATGTAGTGTGGAGCATTTGGATCAATGGAGCAAGGCATCGGATTTTCCACTCATTAACCCTTCATTTTCTGGCCACCGAAATTCAATCATTTATGCAGCAACGTCCACCGGATCTCGCCAGGCACTACCTCATTTTCCGTTCGATACGGTGGTGAAGCTAAATCTGTCAAGCAACTCTGTGCATACATGGTCCACTGGTGCTCGTAGATTCATTGGTGAGCCCACTTTTGTTCCAAAGGGAAATGAAGAGGATGATGGCTACCTTCTTGTGGTTGAGGTCGGATTCAGAACCAAACTCAACAATTAATAAAATATAAAACCCATATATTGAATACACAAAAACTTAGTCAATTTGGCATTGATTAATTTAAAAATCTTGATTAGAAGTTAAGTTTAGGAGCTTAAAGTTCTTAAACCTTTCCTTAACCAAGCAACTAATACTCCAATATATCAAAAAGAAAAAAAAAGAAAAGAAAAACATATATTGTTTTCTTGAGACTTGAACATTAATTTGACTTGATGGTTTAAGTTTTTTTTGCAGTATGCAGTTTCTGTTCAAAGATGTTATCTTGTCATATTGGATCCAAAGAGATTTGGAGAAGCTGATGCTCTTGTAGCAAGACTTGAAGTCCCCAAGCACTTGAACTTTCCTATGGGATTTCATGGCTTTTGGGCCCCAACCGATGAAGCCACGGGTTAAAACTAGTCTAATTTCCTCTTAGGTACCGTCTATAGTGTAATTTGTATAGTTCCTAGTGCATTGAAATGTCTCAAATACTTAAAATTGAAAGTAAGGTATTTGTTTGAAACAAAATTGGATACAACAACTGGTGCTCCACTTAATGGTGGATGGTGAATGTCACTCGGCTCGGGTTGGAGCCCTTCCTGTGCCATTTCCCCAAAATTTCCAAATAATAATAATAATAATAATAATAAGAAATTACCCCTACATATTCTCAGCTTTTCATTGGTAACCTTGGACATACTCAGTTGGAGAAATGAATTATAACTTCCTTAGATTAGTAGAGCAAATGCTATGTGACTGGAAGATAACAGCCAATTATTTAGATA